CTTTGTTCTCGGGGGTGGCCGCCATTCGGGAAACGAACACGTGGCGGCGGCCATTTTAAAACTCCCGAACAGCGGTGTTTTGCCGTCGAGTGTCTGGAACTCAAATTGTACACTCAACTAGGCGAACACCGCTGAGACCGAACAATCAGACGAACACAATACGTTTAACACATATAACTTTGCTATTTTACACTAATGCATTCATTACTGCATATACATTTAGCAAATAGATGAATACAGGTTAAAAATAATACAAGTCCCAGGGCAGCTTATGGTCATCCGCTACACATAAGATCGCAGGAACGTTCTATGCTGCCCTGCAGCATTTAGAGCCGCTTCCTTAAGGACGGCATAGAACGCCCTGCGGTCTTAAGGGGTTAATATGTCTTTAATAAACAGAAAGTGTAATGTAAAAATTGGATCCTACTTTACAGGAAGTGTTTAGGAAGTGTGTGCAAGTCACAGGCAGGTAAGTGTGACAAGGCTGCATAAACAAAGTGATTTAACTCCTAAATGGCAGAGATTTGAGCAGTGAGACTGCAGGTGCATGATTTATACTCCACAACTGCTTCATTAAGCTAAAGTTGTTTTGGTGACCATAGTGTCATTTTAAGCTTATAATGATCGGGACTTTACATGTGTATATCACAAAATTTCTCAGCAAAAATAATAATAATTTCAGGTCTATCTATTTGCATTCAAGAGCAACACAACAGTTACTCAATAATACATGCCAGGGCCGGACTGGGAAAAAAATTAGGCCCGGGCATTTTTCAATTAGAGCGGCCCCCCAAAAAGGGGGCGGGGCCAGAGAAAGTGAGCATGTTGGTTCATTGCGCAGAGCCCCACTGAAGAGCTCTAGCATTAGAAAAAGGCCCTGTATTTGTTCTGCGCAGCGCAAGCAAATGTAATAACATGCTTGCGCTGTGTTTGCTTTTAAATTGTCTCTGGTGTCTCCACAAGTGGGATACCAGAGGACAAAAGGGCCAGGAAAGTGTATGGTGCATGTGTTTGGCGCATGCTTGTGGGATTGCCTGTGTGTAGAGTGTGGTGTGGTATTGTGTAAATAGGTCAATTTTGTGGTGTAATATGTGTGGCTAGGGGCTGTAGAGAGTGCTTGTATAGGGGCATAGTGTTATAGGGGATGTAGCGAGTGTGTGCATACGGGCAGTAGTGTGTGTGTATAGGTGACGTAGTGTGTGTCACTTATACACACACACTACTGTGTGTAGAGAGGGTGTGTTTAGAGAATGTTGTATGTGTTTGCTTACAAGGAATGTAGTGTGTGTGTAGGTGGTGCAGTGTGTGTGTAAGAGATCTAGTGTGTAAAGGACCCAGAGTGTGTATAGAAGATTGTGTGTGTGTGTGTGTGTGTGTGTAGAGGATTAAGAGTGCATATAGGGTAAGGGATCTAGCGTGTATCTGGAGCGTAATGTGTGTAGTGGTGCAGTGTGAGGGGTGCTGTAGTGTGTGTGTGTGTGTGTGTGTATATGTATATATATATATATATATATATATATATATATATCAAAGAAAACAGTGCTTGGCACTCTCCTTTAAGTAATAAGAAAGAACTAATAGCCTGGGTGCTATATCCCAAACGTCAGAAATATACAAGAATCAAAACTGAGCATGCACTCACAGGACTTGGTTAAAGTGAAAAAAAGGGACTTTTAATTATTCCATGTGAATGGAAAATTGATTTTTCTGTACATTTCACATGGAATAATTAAAAGTCCATTTTTTTCACTTTATATTTGGACGTATTGTATGTGTGAGGTGCGCAGCGTGTTTGTGTAAGAGGGGTGCTGTGTGTGAGGGTGTTTTTATCTGCCGTCACATTCTGGGTTTCTAATTTTATTTGTCTGTTAACTCACTGAGGGTTTTTTTTATATAATATATGTGCTGTATATGTGTGGGAGTGAGGGTGCTGTCTGTCTGAGGGTGTTGTGTGCATCTGGGGGTGCGCTGTGTGTGTCTGTGGGGGGCTGTGTATGTCTGTGGGGGGCTATGTGTGTCTCTGGGGTGCTGTGTGTGTCTGGGGGGCTGTGTGTGTCTGGGGGGGCTGTTAGGGAAATTATTTTAAATATATATTTTTTATTTTATTAATAATTATAATATTATTATAATTAATAATTTTAAAAAAAAGTTATGTCCCCCCACCTTCTTACCTTTAGCCTGGGAGGGGGAGGGAGCCGTTCTGCCTGGGTGGGGGAGCCGGGTATCCATGGAGGAGGGGGACCATGCTGCCTTCCCTGGTGGTCCAGTGGTGAGAGTGAACTCTAACCTGCGGGTTAGAGTTCACTCTCGCGAGATCTGAGCGTTGCCGTGGTAACCGCGGCAACGCTCAGAATCCCGCGAGAGGACCCGGCGTTGCTGCTGGCTAGAGCTCCGCCGGTCCCCTTTCCTGCCTCCCTCCCTCCCCAGCCGGCGGCCGCATCTCCCTGTCTGTGGGCCGGTGAGGGAGATCTTTGATCTCCCCACCGGCCCATGGAGGCACACAGCGGGGCCGGCGCTCGGGTAGCGCTGACCCTGCAGGGGCTGGCAGGGGAGATCCTGTGATCTCCCTGCCGGCCTCGGCCCCACGGCCATCGCGGCCCACCGGGCATTTGCCCGGTATGCCCGATGGCCAGTCCGGGCCTGATACATGCTGTGTATATATATATCACAGAACTTCCCAGAAATAAAACTCCAGCAATGAGAACATTATATAAGTGTATCACGGAGCTCTGCAGTGAAAAACCTACAATAATGTGAATACATTTTTTAAAATGTATTCACAGATCTATTAATCCGAGTGTACTATATATCAGTGGTTCCCAACCCAGTCCTCATGTACCCCCTAACAGTCCAGGATTTAGTGATTACCCTGTTGTGTCTAAGGTGTTTTTAGAAAAAGTGCAATTCGTTTCAGTCTGAATATGAATTCGGACGAATTTCGGGCAATTCGGACATTCAGGTACTTCTGAATGTCCGAATTGCCGAAGTGCCGAATTGCCGAGGTCCTGAAGTTCCAAAATTACCGAATTTCCGAAGTGTTAAAGTGCTGAAGTGCCGAAGTTCCGAAGTCCCGAAGTTCTGAAGTTGCCGAAGGTCCGAAGTGTCAAAGTGCCAAAGGTTCCGAAGCACAGTATTACTAATATACTTACTTACTAATATACTTACCCAGCGAAAGAAGAAGAATGTTACATTGTATACAATTTTAAATAAAAAGTATACAAACATAGCCAGGATTCAGCTGTAAGCATTTGCAACACTTACAACAATCAAGTAACACACATTCATATAAAACGTAAGTTACTTAGCCTGTCAATGTAATGACAAGAATGAATAGATAACTCCCTAATTCCCACGGTATTAGGGACTTATCTACTAAAAGGCTGAAAGACCTAAATTGGTCTTTCAGCCAAATTTACTAATACTAAGTAAATATGACTTAGTATTAGTAAATTATGCTCCTACTCACTATACCACGAGTATGGGCATGTCTATTAAACAGTGAACAGCCTGTGGTCCTATTGACCCCCCCACCTGCCCCCACCCCTGAGCAGCGGGTGGGGGCCATAATGTAAAATAATGGGGAGGGACCTATTGATCTAGTCACCGGGGGGTTAACTTTTTTTTAGGGCCCCCAGCAGCCGCTCAGGGGTGGTGGCCAGGGAAGGACAATAGGTCCCCCTATTGGTATTTAGGGCCTCCACCCACCGCTCAGGGGTGGGGGCCAGGGGGGAGGACCTTAGGTCCCCCTTATTATAATTTAGGGTCCCCACCCACCGCTCAGGGGTGGGGGCCAGGTGGGAGAACATTAGGTCCCCCCCTTATTATAATTTAGGGCCCCCACCCGCCGCTCAGGGGTGGGAGCCAGGGGGGAGCACATTAGGTCCCCCCTTATTAGTATTTAGGGCCCCCACCCGCCGCTCAGGGGGGCCAGGGTGGAGGACATTAGGTCCCCCCTTATTATAATTTAGGGCCCCCACCCACCGCTCAGGGGTGGGGGCCAGGGGGGAGGACATTAGGTCCCCTATTTTATTTTATTTTTTAACAGTGTGCAGCCACAGTCTGCTCACTGTTTACTAGACATGCCCCTACTCGCAGTATAGCGAGTAGGGGCAAAATTTACTAATACCAAGTAATTTTTACTTAGTATTATTAAATTTGGCTGAAAGACCAATTTAGGTCTTTCAGGATTTGGTAGATAACTCCCTAATACCGTGGGAATTAGAGAGTTATCTACTAAGCGGCTGCAAAAGAAGTCCTGAAGTGCCAAAGTCCCGAAATTCCAAAATTCCGAAATTCCGAAGTTCCGAAGTTCTGAAGTGTCAAAGTGCTGAAGTTGCCAAATTTCCGAAGTGTCAAAGTGCCGAAGTTCCGAAGTGCTGGAGTGCCAAAGTTCCAAAGTTGCCGAAGTTCCGGAGTGTTGAAGTGCCGAATTGCTGAAGTCCCGAATTGCGAAAGTCACGAATTACGGAATGCCGAACCGAACCAAAAATTTTCCCTATGCGCATGCCTACTTTAGACACAAAAGGGTAATCACTAAATCCTGTACTGGTAGGGGGTAGTGATGTTGCAAACTGTTCGCTGTGGTGACATTCTGTCATCAAACTAATATGGTGACCAGGGGTCAAGCTTTACCCTTTTGAAATGTTAATTGGTTACAAGTCAGGAAAGAGATAACCACTTCCCCTTTTTCTCCATTCCTCTCTGTTCCTTCTTGGCTGTGCTACTGAGCAGTCCTTTAAGCAGACATGGCCTAATTTCTATCATGGTGAACTGTGAGTGGGATTTTATAAGATGTAGTTGTTATTGTTAGTTAGGTTGTTGTTGCTGTTGTTGGTGGTATAGTTAGTTAGATTGTGTGTAATTATTTGTATGTTGTTGTTGTTTTGTCTCTGAATAAATATTTGTTAAAGTAGACGGACCAGAGTTTATATGTGTATGCGATACACCACATTCACGAACTTGCCGCGAACGGTTCGCCGCGGTTCGCCACAAACTGTTCGCGGCGAACTCCGGTCAGCTGACACATCCCTGCCAATCTCCGGCAGACCCTCCCTCCCAGATCCTCCTACTTCCTGGACAGCATCCATGTTGAAGGTCTGCCGGAGATTGGCAGGGATGTGTCAGCTGACCGGAGTTCGCCGCGAACGGTTCGTGGCGAACCACGGCAAGTTCGCGGCAAGTTCGCGAATGGTTCGCGAGATCACTAGTAGGGGGTACTTGAGGACTGGGTTGGAAACCCCTGCTATATATGATTTATTATAGAACTTTATGGAATAAGAGTTCCCCAGCAATAAAACTTATCGTAATGAGCAGCTAGTTTGAGGTTATCACAGAGCTTTACATATTCAAGTATCTTTTTGTTTCTGTCTTCTTTCAACTTATGCTTTAAGTAAAGTGTTTATTTAGCACAAATGTCAGAACAGTACCTATAAATGCATTTAAAAAAAACAACATAGATCCATCTCATACAAAATAAATTTAACAACAATTTTAAATAGAACAAAACAGATTGTGAAGAACAAATACTATGTAAATAAACACTGATAACCATGTCGTTTTTTTGTGTGTGCATTTCTAAAGTGTATAAAGGGTATCAGTTTATTTACCTGTCCCCCACTATTTTAGTTACAGATGGTTTAGCGTGGAGTGTACTGTCTGTCTGTCAATCTGATCTTCCATCCATCTGTCCATCCATATTTCTAGCCATTCAGCTATCTACCCCAGGCTTAACTACAGTTACCCCTAGCACTAACTCTAACTCCAACTCTAACAAAATCATGTAATATTAAAGATACACTAAACATGCATTAGGGGGAAATAATACCATCTTGGGGTTCTGGAGATCCACTTAATCCCGAACCCAAAGATGGCATATATTTATGGATGGATAGACATTTATTATTATTATTATTTATATAGCGCCAACAAATTCCGTAGTGCTGTACAATGGGTGTACTAACATCTCTATGGGGTAAATGTAACCAGACAAGTTTGATGCACAGGAACAGAGGGGGTTGGGGCCCTGCTCAATGGGCTTACATGCTAGAGGGAGTGGGGTAAAGTGACACAAAAGGTAAAGGAAGTATTAGGGAAGTAGATTGGTAGAATAGTATTTACTGAAGACAGGGCGTTTTTGGATTTTTTTAAATTACAGTTATAAATGTAACACTATATAATGGAACCAAGCATTAACATATGAGAATCTTTGGTGTTTTCAAACTGTGTAAGTGTGCTATCATTTTCACTAGTAATTTAACAATGTCACATTAAAGCTCCGCAAGGTTATTTGTTCCATGGGTACCAGGAGAAAACATAAAGCTGTTGATTACATGCAACACAAACTGTTTTAAAATTGGGTTCTGGGATTAATGTGACAAAATAAATGAACTAAACATTTAAAGAGCAAACATTTAATGTGATGTGTGCACTGTTGTTACATTTTGATTATAATAAACACTACATTTTTATGCTCGGAGTAAATATTGAACTGCAGCCGCTACGCAGCTGATCAAAGCTATTTGCTTGGCTCATCTGATTAGACTAGCGTTAATAAACACAACCTTTGGTAAGTCTTTCATAATATCATTTGTCTCTGAATTTCACTTACTGGGAAAGAGCATAAGTAAGCATTTGATGAACACTTTTGAAATCTTACAGGCTGTATTAAATGTTTTACGAATATTCAGGAAATTATTCTAGTTAATAATTTGTTGCAGCAGATATACTTAATTTAAAGGGAAAAAGAAAACAGGTTGCCATTTTTCTCAATTAAAATCTATAACTTACTTAAACCTTTCACTATAAAAAAAAAATCAAAATTGTCTTGGTTATTTCATAACCGAGAGCCATTTTTGTGATTACCCACTTCTTTGAATTGGTCACTTTTCACTAGAACATAAACTATTTGATACAAAAATAACCGCTAAAGTGCTAAACTTTGGAACTGGAGGTGAAGTCTGCAGAAGCTGGAAAGATTTTAATGCATTTTTTTTAGTTTGAATAATGGCCGAATGGAACATCTCTTAAAAATGGTTTGATTGTTATATTATTCAGTAGAAAAATAGCCTTAAAATCCCAAAACACACAAGAATAAGTATTTTTGTTTCCTAAACATCTTCCGAGAGCTTTTATTTCTATTATAATAGAGTCTTCCACAATATTTCAAAGATACATGCCCATTTTCTACATTCTTATATTTAATTAATTATATTATTACAATATTAAAAGAGTATGCAGGCAGTGAACAGTGCAGTAACATTGATGGCATATTCTTCTGGGATTTAAACTATTTTATAAATAGTTTTACTTTGTTTTTAGCCATTTTTCTACCTATTAAATAGTTATATTTCATATATTGAATATGTCTACCTTTTCATTGTTTCCTTAACTGGAAAACTCCAATCACCAAGGCAACATTTATATATTTTATAGCTTTTGACCTTAAAAAGTTGACGTCTTTTTTTGCATGTCCAATTCTGCAAGTTAAATGTTTTACAGATTTATACATTTTAACCCTGTCTCCCCATTCTAAACTATTTTCTTGATGTTACACAGTTGTATGTGACATTAACAAGTACAGCACAGTTTCTGGGAGTTGTAGTCCAGTTAACAGCTGTTGTAACATAATCCTTGGTTATCACTAGATCTCTGCCACGGAATGTAGAGTATTGGTCTATCCTGGACCATGCCACGCTGCTAGTACTTGGAGACACTTCATGCAGAACATACAATGGGGCAGTCTAGAGGGAGTATCATTAATTAACAATCAAATATTGACAAGAATTAACTAACGTGATGGACAGCTTGTGCAAACATCATGAAATTAGCATATGACAAATCATAGCGCTAACATTTATCTACAGGGCATTACTAGGTGTGGTCTTCTTAGAATAGGAGGGTATATGGATAGGTTCTTCTAAAAATTGGGAGGAGAAAAGATGGTGGTGTGCAAAGAAGAGACCGTACATATTGTGTTTGCAATCTACAAGGTTGCTTGTCTTATGATTTACCTAAACAGACATTAACACTTTCAACAGCTTTCATGACTACAAATCTGATAACGAAATTAAAAGTTTTGCAAAATCCTACTCCAAAAAGAAATGAGGAAGTTCACAGAAGGCTTTGATTACTGCTAATTAGCACTAAAAAGCCTAGAGTATTCTATTATATACATATCATTCTTATTAACCTGCCAATTGTCTATTTTTAAGAGCACCATCCTTCTATGTCCTTCTTTTCTACCCCAGCATTTTGCTTTCTAGAACATAGAATGTTATCAATGTATGATGTATCATATTTTTTATTTAGATTTTAACATTTCAGTAACGGTTGGCATGTTTGTATGGGAAAGTAATAGAGATTTTTCCACTATAAAATCAAAGTAAAATTCTATATGTAAGATAGTATCACAGTAATGAACGCTACGGTAATCTAATCTACATATACTGTAAGTAGATGTATCACAGAGCTCCAAAGAAATATAACTCATAGTATGTGTAGCGTTTATGATGTTTCACTTCATAACTTCATACAAAAAAAGTGAGCAATTACACTCTTAGAAATTGATCAAAGGAAAAAGGTCTACATTAATGAAACATACAATAATATGAAATGTTAAGAAATCTAGTAAATTACATAAAGTTCATTATATCACCTAAAACATTATATGAAACTTCTGACCACACATCCAATATTCGGCCCGTTTTAATTTAAAGTCACAAAAATAACTTTAGCTTAATGAAGCAGTTTCAGTGTATAGATCACGCCCCTGCAGACTCACGGTTCCATTCTCTGCCATTTAGGAGTGAAATTACTTTGTTTATACAGTAAGGTGCACAGCCTTCGTAAACACGTCCTGTAAAGTAAAATTGAATGTTTACACTTCTCTTATTGCAAGTTCTGTTTCGTTTATAATGTCTTATCTCCTGCACTGTTAATAGCTTGCTAGACCTTGCAGGAGCATCCTGTATGTAATTAAAGTTCAATCTACTTCTAAAGTAAGTTAACATAGGATTGAAATTGAAATTATTATTTTTTCATGCAGGCTTTGTGAGTCCCAACCAGGGAAGGTGTAACTAGGGCTGCATGGACAGAAACGTAAGTGATTTTACTCTTAAATGGCAGAGAGCTGAACAGTGAGACTTCATGGGCATCAGCTATACACAAAACCTGCTTCATTAGATTACATTTGTTTTGGTGTCTATATTTTCCCTTCAAACAATCCCACTAGATATGTTGTATTTATGGCACCTTCTATTACTCTATTTTGAATAATTTCACACTCTTCTCTTCAATTTTTAAGTTATTATAAAGTGACTTAATTTAAAGGGACACTATGTTCACCAGAACATCTACAGCTTAATGTAGTTGTTCTGGTGTCTATAGCCTTTCCCTGCAGGCTTTTCAAAGTAAACACTGCCTTTTAAGAGAAAAGTCAGTGTTTACATTTCTCCATAGGGATACCTCCAGTGGCCATCCTCCGACAGCCATTAGAGGTGTCCACCTCCTAGTCTGAAATCATCAGAATTGACGAACTCAGCCAATCCAAGGCTTCCCTGTGTGAAAGCATTGTGATTGGTTGAGATTATCAATTCTAATTAAATCAGCCAAGGAGGTGTATCAGGGGCAGGGTCAAATGCCCCCTGGCCAATTTAGCATCTCCTCATAGAAGAGTCAATGCATCTCTATGGGGTAAATTCAGTTTCTCCATGCAGGCGCTGGAATAAAACTGAGTAAAATATATTTTTATGGGAGTTAAAGGAGGGCAGCCACCTAAATAGTTTATTTAATACGATAGGATCAGGAATACATGTTTGTGTTCCTGACCCTGTAGTGTTCCTTTAACTATCTGTATGCACTTTATGTAACTGAAACAGGAAGCATCATCCTTTTAACCATTTAGCCAATGTTTTGTGAAAAGCTTCAATACAAATTTTTTTCCACTACATTGTTTTATTTTTGTCTTCTGGTAAATAATGTATATATTTATTTGTCATGTCAGTTTACACCTTGTAATGCAATGCCATATTTGATTCTGGTAAAAAAAAACAAAAAACAATTACTGCATAATAAAGATAAAGATCATTAAATATAGAATTTAGATAGATATATATATTGATGGCCACTTATTTTC